AGGGCCTCAGAGGGAAAGACAGTAGAAGTCCCCTTTAAAGGGGATGTGGAGCATACCATTCGTGACATCCTAGGAGGGATCCGATCTACATGCACCTATGTGGGAGCAGCTAAGCTAAAGGAGTTGAGCCGGAGAACTACTTTCATCCGAGTCACCCAGCAGGTGAATCTAATCTTCAGTGATGCACACTAGACCTGAGCATTTCTGCCCGCTCAAGGCGCCAATACTTCGCAACAGGGTCTCCCAAATGGGTTTCTCACCCATTCTAACTACTGTGGCAGTGCATTTAACAGTTCCCATTGTCTTCCTCCTGAGAGCTCCTGTAATAATGTTATACTTCTCTGTTTGTACACACAAGATGCCCAGAGCACTTACTGGGGAGGAAGTGAGGAAGAATATAGTCTGAAAATGAAGTAAGATAATCGAATGGGTATCTGGGTACCCGGCATCCTGAAGATGAAAAGATACTGATTAAATCATAAATGTTCTATATGGCCTTGGTCTGGATGGGGCAGGCTTTTGGAATTATGTCTTATTAATCAGCTTCATTAAATGAGATCTTTAAATATCTAAAAAGCTCAGAAGTTTTTATATATTTGAGATAACTCAATAAAAAGAGGTCTCACTATATAAAAGAGATGCTAAGGCTTTCTGCACAAGGCTGACATTTGGGTGTTGCTCCAAAGAAAGAAGGTAGTGATTAGCATTGACCCAGTGGTATTAAAGACAGTATTATTCCCACAAAGTGTTTCCATTCTAGCACCACCACTCCCAGGTGAATCGGCAGCATGAGAGTTTATAAAATATATTCCAGCATTAGGCATATATTTTCAGAACAATAAAAAGACATTTCTCTTCCAGGCTCTCAACTTCTGGGCACATCTGAATAACACTTTCTAAGGGAAGTAAAAGGGTAGGGATTCTTCCAACTCTAGAAACCTGGTTCTATGTCTAAAAAATGACATCCACTGACCTACAGAAGTCCTTCCTCACATCAAGACAGTATTGTAACGAATCTAAAGTTTAATCATCAAGCATCACAAAGTTTTTAGTAATGTAGTCAGACAATCCAAATCTGGTTTCCACTTCATTCCCATAAAACTGCCTGAAGACCGAGGAGGAAGAGGGCATTCCAGTGCTATCACAAGGGTCTAGAGCTGCCTAGGTGGTCACAGGAAGCAGTGGGCACCATATTGGGGCCAGAAGTGGGGAGATATTCACAGAAGGTAGGAATCAGAGTGTCAAACTTTGTCTTCTGATAGTTTTCCAGAGACTCCTACAGAGAAGGGAGCAGGAGATCCTATTGTCGAAAAACCATCCCCTAAATCCTCCGTATTCTGAAGCATGTGGATTTTTCAGGCTTGTTCTGCCCATCCTTTTCCCTAGCTTTCTGCTCCTTCCTACTCACCTTTCCTTCTCTCTGACTATTTTCTTCCTCATCAGAGTCCAAAACCAAGTCTCCTATGGTAATGACAGAGCTGCACAGAGATGGGGAACACACTGGAAGAAGGAAACCAGAATCAAAATACTCCTTCTAGGTGAACAAAGTTTCTGAAAAGTATCTAAGAAAACAGACTGTCTAAGCAAAACCTGACTCAGTTTACCTACCTGGATTCTTGGCCCTAGGAGGTGATAATGATAGTCTCAGTGGGTCAATATAGCAATCCAAGCAATTCCTGAGGTAGAAGCAAGCAAAGAACAGTGTGAAAGAAAAGCAAGTAAACAGTGTGGTCCTACTAGGAAGAAGCAAAGCTAACACTCACTCTTTTTGCTCTGAGGCAGATAAGTCAGCAGGGTTCTCCTTTAGAGCACTTTCCCCCAGGATCTGAAATGGACTCTTGGATTTCCCCATGATGGCTGTTCTTGTGCCCACAGCATCTGATGGGTCTACTGTATGAATTCCGTGCTCTTCCCTGCTGTCAGATTTAGATATGACCTGGGTTGGTGTGCCCAAATTTCTAAAGGGGAACAGCATGACCATTGGGCGCTCCTTATGGCCTTCCCTAGCAGATGTCCATTGGGACCGGGTTCTTCGCTGGCCCAGAGGAGCCAAATTGAAGTGGTGGCCTGCCAAACGTTCTGGGTGCTTCCTTGAAGCTGGTCCCTGAGGACCAGGCTTGGCTTTTGGCAGAGGACTATGGGGTGCTAGTGCCTGTTGCAGAGGAGGATTTTGTTCCATCTCTGTCAGGTTCACTGAATCAGAAACAGAGCACTCTGAAAGAGAAAATGAGGCTTCTTATAAAGAGAATAGATAACTGGGAATGGTGGCACATACCTGTAATTCCAGCAACCTAGAAGGCTGAGGCAGGAAGATCACCAGTTCAAGGCCAGCCTCAGCAACTTGATGAGGCCCTAAGTAACTTTGTGAAGCCCTGTCCCAAAATTTTAAAAAGGGCTGCAGACGTAGCTCAGTGGTTAAGCACCCCTGGGTTCACTACCAGTACCAGAAAAAAATGAATAATAGATAGTAACAGATTAATTTGCTCAGGTTCCTTATGCTTCAGGCCCACCTAACTTCAAGTTGACTGACTCAAAATATGTCATACTAAACACCACATCCACAAATAGCTAGTTATCCCAGGTGGTACTAATACCTGGAAGTGGCCACCCCATGTCCACTCCATATTGGCTCAAGGCAACAGAAGAGGTGACAGAAACTCCAGGCTGCATCCAACTCAGCACATCCTGAAGCTGTGGGCAGGAAAAGAGGCATAAAAAGCAGTCCTTGATACAATAATCCCACCCCACACTCTGTCCTTAAGTGTTTTGCTCCAACAAAACCTGCTGTGTCTGCACTGAAGGCAGTGCTTTTTCCAGCTGACACATGTATTCAAAAAACAGCTTTTCCATGGCATCCAGAAAGGGTTCCCCATACTCTTGTTTAAGTTCCTACAGTGGAGAAAGACAGGCAGGTCAGAAAAGGATTACAGAAAATAGGAACAACCACCTAACAGCCTCCAAACTACCCAGTCTCACCTGCAGCTTTGAAGCCAAATCTACAGGGTCCTCTGACAGCTGCTTCACCTGCTGGCAAAAAGTCTCCTGTGCCTCCAAAATCTTCCTCAGATCCTGCTTTGTCTGATAGGAAAGGCAGAGAAGTTGAGGGCAACAGGGGCAACTTTTAAGTGCAACTGGGGTTAGGGCTTGTTTGCAAGATTTACTCACAGCTTTAGGGTCCCGCACTACAAGTCCAGATTCTGGGAAGTGGTGATTCAGGGCATTCAGGACCTCGGGCCAAGGCCGGCCCTGAAGGATCAGTTCCACCACCACCTGCACGATACTAAGCTCAGAATACCCACTCGGGGCAAACCACTCTTTTCCAACTGGTATCTCCCCTGTCCCCCAACCTTTGGCCCTCTCAGGTCTTCCGTTCCGCCCCAATACCTTGGCCTTTAGGCCCATACAAAGGCGTTCATGGTGCCGGTAGCGAACCAAGCCTGGAGCAGCAGCGCGCAGGGATCCCAAAAATTCTAGTACTCTCGGAAAGTGCTCCACACTGCGTCGGCGCACTACTTGCCAGCTGGCTGCCGCTGCGAAGCGCAAAGTAGCGGGGCCGGCCCCCGGAGGCGTGGCCATGGCCCCGTCTCCGCCCCAGGGCTGTTCCTTCAGGCTTCTTCCACCTTGGAGAGACTTCCCGGCCCCTCCTGGAGGCGGGTTTCCGGGGGCCCTCTGATTCGGCTCTTTCGTGGTGCGCCGGATACGCTGCGATCTGACTCAATTCTCTTCTATAGGTCGCCAGAATTCTGGGGGCTTCTCCTAGCTCAGGATGGAGCCTGAATGGAGGAGCAGGGCGTCTCCAATGGTACCAGGATCACTCAGCTTTTAGCGCCACCGCTATCTGGAACCCGAAGGTACCTCACTTCCGGCTCTGAGACTAGTTTCTCTTGACCCGGAAAAGGATGGTAAAAGGGAACCAATGGTCTGCCAGACAGGGAAGTGTGACGTCGCGTCATAAGGCCGCGCCCCCGCAGGTCCGGCCTCTCTCAGGCTCCGCCTCCCGGCTGCTAGTGCTTTAGTTGGCTGCTGAGACATCTGTGACCGCTCCTCGCCCCTCCGGGCCTTCCCAGTTCCCGCTTCTTTTCGCAGAACCTACTGGAAAGTCATGTCACTTCCGAGGCCCGACTTTCTAATTCGGAGATCATGCAATCTTCTCTGTCCATTATTTTCGTTTGTTGAAATGACAAGTGCTTAATTCTCAGTCCTCAACTAGCACCTGCGAAACCTTCCCAAGAGACATGCTGCTTCCAGTAAGAATTTAGCCAAACAGAAGAGGGCGCTCGCCTTTAAGAAGTAAAATATGAACTGGGCACAGTGGCGGACGTCTGTAATCCTGGGACACCAGGAGGCTGAGGCAGAAGAATCACAAATTTGAGGCCAGCCTCAGCAATTTAGTGAGACCCTGTCTCAAAATAAAAGATAAAAGGTATAGGAATAGTGTATTAGTTGTTAAGCACCCCTGGTTCAATCCGTGGTACCGGAAAAAAATACGAGCCGTGATTGGTTGCACCTGTAATTCTAGCTACTCTGGAGGCCAAGGCTGGAGGATCACAAATTCGAGGCCAGAGAGCATGGGCAACTCAATTAGCAAGACCTTGTCTTAAAAGGGCTGCGTGTAGAGCAGTGGTAGAGTGCTCCTGGGTTCAGATTGTTAACTGGTCTTCTCTGCATGGTGGGGTTATATGCAATATTTTGTGCTTTTCTGTTTCTTCTGTATCTAGTTATAAAATTTTAAAATAATTTCCTTTCAGATTTTTGTTGAGTACTTAACTTGAGTCAGTCCCTTATTGAATTGACTATTTTCTTGGGTACAGGAAATTCTAGTCATCTCCCATTTTTACTTCACTTATTCCTTCTCTACCATTCCTTTATGTAGACTTGAATTTCTGACCTACATAATTTTCATTCTAATGCATTTCTTCTAACATATCTTGCAAGACAGGTCTAATGGTAATACATTTCCTCAACTTTTTTTTTTTGGAAAGTATTTATTTCCTTTTAAAGAATAATTTTTTGGATACAGAACTCAAGATTTGGTGAGTTTTGAAATTTTTCTTCAACAATGCAAATGTTTCACTCCTTTTCTGCTTTCATGGTTTCTGAATGGAAGGCCAATGTAATTCTTATCCTTACTCTTCTGTAGATAAGTTTCCCCAGCCTATTCCCATCCCTTACTCTCTTTCTTGCCTCTTTTTTTTTTTTGTCTTTGAGTTTCTGCAATGTGGATATGATATGCCTATATGATGGTAGTGATTCTGTTTTTTGTTTGTTTGTTTGACATTTATCCTGGATGCTGTTCTGTGAGCCTCCTGAATCTATTTTTGGTATCATTAATTTTGGGAAATTCTCAGCCATATTGTTTCAAACTTTTTTTTTCTGTTTTTCTCTGCTATTCTCATTAGCCACACTTTTTGTGATTATCCCACAATGCATGGATATTCTGTTCTTCTTAAATTATTTTCCTTCTGCATTTCAGCTTTGGAAATTCTTCAGGCTGACTCTTTCCTCAGCTGTGTCCACGCTATTAAAAAGCCCATCAAAGGCATTTTTAATTTCTATTACAATTTTTTTTATTTCTAGCATTTCCTTTTCATTCTTTTTAAAAAAATTTATAGTTGGGCATAATACCTTTATTTGTTTATTTTTATGTGGTGCTGAAGATCGAACCCAGCACCTTACATGTGCTAGGCAAGTGCTCTACCACTTAGCCATAATCCCAGCCCCTCCTTTTGGTTCTTTTTAGAATTTCCCGTGCTCTGTTTACATTACCCTTCTGTTCTTGCATGTTGTCCACTTTTTCCATTAGAGCCATGGCATATTGACTATAGTTTAAATTCTCGGTCTGATAATTCCAGTATCTCTTCTATATCTGAGTCTGATTCTTATGTTTGCTATGTCTCTTCAAATGGGTGTTGTTGTTTATCTTTTAGTCTGCCATGTCATTTTGGTGGTGGTGTTGTTTTGTTTTTTTTGTGGAAAGTCAAGTGTTTTATGTTTATCTGCCTAGGGGTTAGGCTATGTTTATTGTTAGTTGTAGATGTTAGGAGCTAAAATTTCTTCCAGCATCCTTGTCATTGACTCCCCTGTTGTCTTTGGTAGTCCCAAGAGACTTCTTAAATAAGGTCCAAGATGTGCAGTTCTTTTGCATTCCCCTATTATTACACAGAGCTCTATTGGTGTTAAAGTATGGAGAGGGGAACATTCTAGAATCCTATAATTAGGTTTCAGTTTCTTAGAGCCTGTGCCTGGGGCTGTGACTTTCACAAATGCTTCTCAGTCCCTGACACCCCCCATTTCCTACTGCCCCAAACAGGTCAAAGAGGAGCACTAGAGCTGAAGTTGCATGTTTCCCTTCCTCATGTGAAATGCTAGGAGGCTAGAGCAGGGATTTCCCTTTTCCCAGATGAATTGGGCTCTCTTTATGTCCTAAGTTAGTAAGACTAAGTTTCTCTTGAGGACAAACCTTGTTAAAAATAGAATATTCTTAATGTACTTCAAAATGGCCACTTTTGGCCAGACATTCTAAATTGCTCTAATCCCAGCAATTTGAAAGGCTGAAGAAGGAGAATTGAAAGTTCAAGGACAGCTCTGCAATTTAGCAAGACCCTGTCTCAAAATTAAAATTAAAGTAATTTTTTTAAAGGCCACTTTCTTTCTCCCCCTGCCAGAAGTCCAATGAGCATTTTCTTTAATCTTTACTGTGAGAACCTGGTAAATTTCTTGAGGTAAAACTCATAGATTCATGGGGACCCCCC